TCTGTGAGTTCGAGGCCAGCCTGGGCTACCAAGTGAGCTCCAGGAAAGGCGCAAAGCTATGCAGAGAAACCCTGTCTCGAAAAAACCAAAAAAAATAATAAAATAAAAATAAAATAAAAAAGAACTGAGAAGGATAAAAGGCTGTGGTGGGGAAACTCTAAGGTAGGTGGGATGGGTGGGAAAGGAAGGGACAAATCTTACAAAAAGTATTCCTGACTAAGGAGGGGACCTGCTTGCAAGGAACTTGGCATATAATTTGCATATTGTTCATTTCAAGTGAAAACCTACAGATACTACCCCTGATCTCACCTGTCTCCCCCACCCCAGAATGTTTCCCCAATTCTCTCAGAACTCCCACTTTCCTCTGTACCCCATCTGGCTCCCCAGTTCTGCCCTTTCCCTCTCCATGCCCCAAGGTCTGCCTGACCTGTTTCCCCTGTAGAATTCTCAGAGCCCTAGCTCCCCACAGACAGTCTTTGCCCTCAGTAAGTCACCCAACTGAATCCCAAGTTGCACCCTTACCTTGATGTCTGTATCTGGAGTGACAAGCTCCTTCAGGCACTCAATAGGGCCCATGAGAAAGGGGCAGTGGGAAGAAAAAACCTGGAGAAAGAGAAGATGAGTGAGTCCAAAACCAGGTAGAAATGGACAGAAAGGGGCCTTGACTTAAGAAGCCAGCTTTCCAGCTCCCATCACCTAGGCCTGGAGGTCTCTTAAGGTCATCAATTTGAAGGACCTCTGCCAAGCTCAGCTGCCTCCTTTCCATGCTTATGTTTCATGCAAATACCACCCACAGAGAGGCTTAGAGTTCTGCAACAGCCTTCCCTACTCACCTCCTGAAGTCCCTCTTGGGCCATGGCCCTAAAATTGAGAATCACCCCAATGATGGTCATTCGTTTCAGCACATTTTCAGCCCCTGAAGAGAAAGCAGGTTGTTAGAGATGGGAACAACGGAGAATGGTGATGGTTTTTGCTTCTTCAGACCCAGCTCCTCAAAGCCCCAGCTCCTCAGAGCCCCTGTCATTCACAATGCTTCCCTCATAGCTCCTTTAGGAAAGTGTTTACCCATCAGCTGGGGCAGCAGAGATGCCATTAAGTCTGGCTTGCTGAAGTTGGATCTGATCTGAACCAGTATATCCATGTTTTCCACCACCAGCTTCTGCATTTGAACAGAGAACAGAAGCATACAATAGGTAAAGAAGAAATCTATGCTCTATCTTCTAGCTCCCACTCACAGGCAAGACCTTTTCCCAGGCCATTTCCACAGTACCTTCAGCTCCACAATCTGAGAAGTCACATGCCACATTAGGTTTTCACTCAGGAACTTCATGCCATAAGGGCCAAGAATTTCAGCCAAGGCTCGCATCTCTGGAATAGAGTTTCAAAGTTCCCAGTGAAACTCAAGTCTTTGAATATATAAATGTTGTCCAGGAAGGAAAAAATGTGGGCAGCTGAGAAGACAAAAAAAGGTCTGCAGTCCTACACACAGGTGGCAGGCAGGTCTGGCTGCCCATGAGACAATTTCCTCTCCTACCACTGGTACCTATAGCATGGCTCACCTCAAATGATGATAGCTATTTACTTTTTTAAAAAACAAAATTTATGTGTATGTACCTGAGTGTATGTATACCATGAGCACCCATCAGATCCCCTGGAGCCATAGCTACAGACTTTTGTGAGCAGTCCATGTAGCTCCAGTCCTCTGGAAGAGCAGCTGGTGCTCTTAACTGCTAAGCCATCTTTCCAGGCCTCTGTTTACCTCTTATATGACCCTGCACTTCCCAGTCCCTTTTTCTGGCTTTTGCTATTGTTGCACTAGTTTAACTTGCTTTAATAGACAGAAGGCCTCAAAAAAGTCACCAAGCCCCTCAGAGTCTCTTTGCTCCTCTGTAGCATCACGAATCCCTCAGAATGAGCATTAAAAACTACAGTGATAAACACTGTAGGAAACGAGATACAGAAAAACAAGGGTGTCTTAAGTGATAGTTACCAAAAGCCCTGTGAGGCATGGGGCAAAATCACTCCACCATGGCTTTACAGGCAAGGAGATTAGGTGCTTGGCCAAGGTCACTTAATCACATGGGGGCGTGTCCAGAAACCCAGTGCAAAGCCCTCCTGCCCTTTGTCCCTGAAGGGACCATGCTTGTGCATCTGGGATCTCATTTCTCAGTCTTCCATCGACTTCCAGTATTTAATATCTCATTGGCCCAGTTTCCCCTTGAGCTGCCTTTTCTTTTTTCATAATCAACACACATTCCCCAGAGTCTTAGTTCTTTTTGCTTTAAATTCTTTATTCTTCCAAATCTAGTCTTGCCCCTAAGGCCTTATCACTCCCCACCCAGCCTGCTTTTGCCCTTTCTAAGTTAAATCAAACTTGCCTGAGGGAATCCCAGGTTGGCAATCCTAGTGGCAAGCTCAGACAGAAAATGCTCTGGCTGTGATCTTTGGCTATCAGCCATTCCAGCAGGGGAAACCACAAAAGACCAGAAGTAACAAGAGAGCAGCATAGGGAAGACACATTCAACATCATTAATCAGAATTCAGAAAAGAAGGGAAACTGGGATTCCTGGCTACAGTCTTTGAAGGTAGGACCAGCTGATGCCATCCACCTCCATCAGCTACAGAGGAAACAGCCTTGGTCACTGCAGCTAATACAATGCCTGGTTCAAAGTAAACACTAGACATTTGTAGAGTCATCAATTTGCCATCACAGGACTAAGCTGAGAAAGGTAAAGGATTTTATAATTAACTAGCCACCTTAGAATGCTAACACTCTTGCCTAAGGGAAGAGGGTCAAAATTGTCTTCTCTGGATCTAATAAAGAGGCAGCAAGCTGGTCTACAGGATGGATCTGCAAAACCCCCTACTCCAGTCATCTCTATCCCCAGTTAGTAACCCTATGGCATCCTTTTCTTCCTATCTATTTTTGAAGTAGCATTGCCCCATCACCATGGCAACCCAGAGAAATTGGGGTGGGGGTGGCAGAAGGGTGAATTGCACTGCCTCCCGCTGCTTGTCAGTTGTCAGCAAGGCCTAAAGCAGGTTTTACAGGCTGCCTACAGCTTGTGGGTAGAGCTGATGAAAGGGGGCATCTAAAACCTCCAGTATGCAAAGTATCGATTGTTTACCGATAGAATGTAGGGAATGATAAGGAGAGAGAGCTGGAAAATATAGACATGCATTTTTGCTTCCTTGGCGTCCCCAGAAAAGGAGAATGAGAAAGTCTGGGTCATGGAACACCTCTACCAACCTCAGGTCTCATGCACAATCCATCATTTACATGGAAGTGAGAGAAAAGGGGATGACATAGGCTCCTTCATGAGAACTCAGTTCATAATATAAATGTTAAGAAGGAATTATATGGCTTCAAGCCCTCTTTAAAAAGGGAATGGTGCCAGGTGGTGGTGGCACATCTTTAATCCCAGCACTTGGGAGGCAGAGGCAGGTGGATCTCCGTGAGTCTGAGGTCAACTTGGTCTACATAGCTAGTTCTAGGACATTCAGGGATACACAGAGAACCCCTGTCTCGAAAAATCAAAAGGGGGGGTGGCTTTCCAATTCACTATAACTCCCTTATCTGTACACACACACACACACCAACCAATCAATCAATAAAATACTGTTGTACACTGGGAAGCAGGAAAGCAGTGCCACACTATTCTGGAGTTTGACTGTCTGAGTTAAAATCCCAGTCCTACCATTTATGGATATGTGACCTCAGCACCTCCTAACCTCTTGGTGCCTCCAGTGTGTTCATCTGAAAAATGGGAATAGCAATGGTAGCTGCCTCAAGGCTATCGTGTGAATTGAATTCTATGTGTGAGCACTTAGAACGTGGTCCATAATAACGTCTTCCATCATCTCATCAGCATTGGCCAAGGATCAGAACATCATCTCCAAGGAAGAAGATGCCAAGACATCAGATCACCACTTAATCTGTCCCCACATGAATCTGTCAACTGCATTCTATGTGGAAATGGAAAATAAGTACTAACCACCCTGGAAGAATGAACCCTTCGATGACTAGTGAGCCTGCCTAACTCCTAAGCCTCTCTCCTTTTCTCTCTTCACCTTCATCTCCCAGGTCACTTCTCAATCCCCAGCCTGCTTTAGAATCTCTTTTTGTATGTTCCTGAAGTTGAGCAGAGTCCAGCAGCAACACTAAGAAGAGTGCTGAATGAGCCTCTAGGAAAGCAGGAGGATTTCGGCCAAGGTACTGAAGAGGGAAGTTCAGCTCTGTGGCAAGGAGACCAGGGTGCTGGGCTCACCAGAGATGTCCGAGAACTCCTCAGCACTGAAGTTCTGCTCCCCATCTCGGGGAAGGCTGATGAAGGCCTGCATGGCTGGAGAGAGGACGATGACTCCACTGCTCGCCTGTCTGAGTAGGCTTTCTAGGTACCTACAGAGGGTGGGGGGAGATCAGGTTAGTATCCAGTCATTTCTGCCACCATCACACTGGAGTCAGGAAGAAAGTCTGCTTAGGAGCTGGGATGGAGAGGAAAGACTGAAAGAAGGCAATACAGCAATCTATTTAACACTCTAGAGCTGTTGGGTCAGAAGCAGGAACGTGATTCCACTTGGGCTCCAGTTCACAGGTATTCCACCATGCCGTAAACAGTCACGCAATCCCAGCCCTCAGCCCCGCTCTCTTCCAACAACTGTACTCTCCTTGCCCTTACCTTCTGTCAGATAAGATAGACAGGCTCACACTGGCATTTTTTAAAAATGAACTAGGTTCCTCTGAAATACACTTAAGCTGTACCCTCTCCAGTGAAGAGCTAGGCCAAGGACCCAGGATCCCAGAAGCCAGTCTCAAATCAAACCTCTGGCTGACAGGAGCACCCATCACCCAGTCTCCAAACCTTCCCTCCTAACCCCTGGACAAGTCAGAGAAGCTGTCTCTAGCAGTGTCTGAAGAAGAGGGCCCACCAGCTGCAGCACTAACCCAGACACCAGTTCTAAGCCTGTATTTTACAGTAGCATGGGCTAAACACCAGTGAGCCAAATTCAGCTTCCAATCGTTTCTCCCCAGTTAATTACAACTAGTTGTCAAAATTTTAAAACTGAAAATTTACATTAAAAATAATTTAATGGGGCAGTATTCAATAGGTACTAAAAAGTAGCTGTCTCTGTGAGAGGCAAATGGCTGTAAATCCTCAAAGTCCTAGCCTAGCTGATGAAATCCATCCACCTCAACAGGCTGTACCCTTCCCAGTATCCCCCTAAGCTGATAGTAGATTTAAAGCGCCACCTAGTGGCTTGGAGAGGGAGAAATCTGCCTCTTGGACCCCTAAAAATGTCAAAGAAAATGGTGCTTTCTCTGGTTTGGGAAAAGGGCCCCTTTCCCTATCCAGAACAAGCTACTGGACTTGACACTTCGGTTAAGAACAAGGAGATATGGTAGACAGCATGGTTCTTGGTGTGAGAAGCTAAAGCAAAAAGAGAAATAAGAATGAAAGAAAGAAGTGGTAGAATCCTTTTCAACAGAAATAGCAAGAATCCAGAAAAGGAAAGTTAAGGACAGGACATTAAGAGGAATAAGATCAATGAGCCACAGGGTAGATGTGAAGGCTATAACAGAAGGAGGTCTAAGTTTACCCCGTATATTATTGCTCTCATCCACATGCAAAAGAAAACCTCCTTTGCAGGTCCAGTGAGCTGCTGGAGGTTAAAATGCTTAGTTGTGGGTTCTACGATATAAAGAAAGAGTACTAGAGGTGAGACAATGAGAAGGAACACTGACCAGTTTGTGTAGAGAGTGGTGACAGTCTGCTCGCCACAGGAGTCCAATGGCTGTGTCTGCTGCAGGAGGGCACTGCGGACAACTCTGGAAGCATCTGCACCCAAGAACTGTGCCAATGACTGAATGAAACTGATGTATGCTTTGACTCCTGCCAACAGCTCAGAAGGCCTAAGGATTTCCTGCGTTGTGGCATTGTAGCCAGCCAAAGTCACGATGGCTCTAAGTGACAAAAGCCTTAATAATTATAAATATATTAGGCCGGGCAGTGGTGGTGCATGCCTTTAATCTCAGCACTCGGGAGGCAGAGGCAGGCGGATCTCTGTGAGTTCAAGGCCAGCCTGGTCTACAGAGCAAGATCCAGGACCGGCACCAAAACTACACAGAGAAACCCTGTCTTGAAAAACCAATAAACAAACAAACAAATAAATAAATAAATAGACAGCCACATTAACAACCCTGTGTTCCTGGTGTTGCATATGTTGTCTCATTTAATCTCCAAGGTAACCCAGTAAGGTAGGCACTATTACCCCATTTTGTAGATAATAAAACTGGGTAAGCAAATCACTTGCTGAAGATCACACAGCTGGCTAGTGGCAGAGTTTTGACTCGGGTCCATTGACATTTGACTCCTAACCATTTCTTTCTCTGGAGAAATTAGGTCAGCTGGTAAAAGACCTGAGCTCCCAAATGCCACCAATAATGGGAAATCATTCTTAGATATCCTTGGAAACATAGTGCAGTCCCTGGTGGTCATGGATGCTGGACTATATAGAGTACCGTAGCCTGCATACTCTAGATAGAATAAATGTCTTCTGCATACAGCCATGGGGCTAAGATTTCATGTTGCAGCCAGTCCTTTGACTTACAACTTTTTTCTTCACAAAATAACAAACAGTCAGGATAGAACATATTCTTCACAGTGTCTCATTTGCACCTTATTATAAACGAGTTCCTCAAACTCTTCCTGAGCTGTGAGATATTTGGAGTTCTTTGGTTGGTTGGTATTATGGCAAAATATTTATGGCAGGATATTCAGAAAGGCTATTCCCACAAATTAAAGGGAAGATCCCTGGGTACCATTTAAAGGAAATAAAATAGAAGGGACAAGTGAGAGGCAGGCCTAATCAATATTAGAACTTTTAGCCAGTTGTGGCACACATCTGTGATATCAGCACTCAGAAGGCTAAAGCTGGAGGGATTATGAATTAAAGTCTATCCTGGGCTACATACTATTTACAGAGGCTCTGCCTCAAAGCAGGGGACTGGAGTGGGGAGATGGCTCAACTGTAAAAAGGACTGATTGCTCTTCCAGAGGGCTGGAGTTCTATTCCCAGCACCCACAGAACAGCTCACAACCATCTGAAACTCTAGTTCCAGAGAACTCAGTATCCTCTTCTGGTATCCAAGGACACCAAACCATGTGTGTGGTGCACAGAGACACATGCAAGCAAAACACCCATACACATAAAAATAATAAAAATAAAATTTCCTTTAAATTAAAAAAAAGTTAAAACCTCTAGACAAAACCCTGGAACTTTTGGAATAATGACTTTGTGAAGCAAGAATCAGAGATTCTGGAAAGCTAGGTAATCACACTTTTACTGCTCCAGGGCCTGGAAACTACCATGGCTGCTGAAGGTGTTCATGGGCAATTATCACACTGTCATCCCCTTGACATTGTGTATACAACTGAAGCACTTCCTCCCCTAGAGCTGATGCTTACAGAACAAAAACAAACTATTTTATGTCACCCAAGCAAAACCCTAATAGGAAAATAAATCTGCACATCTTACCATCTTGTAACTGGTCTTCCCGATCCTGTTCTCATTCATGCTAATAAAGCCAGAGTGAACTGTGGTCACAAAGCTTATTATAGCTTTGCTCCAGACCAGCCAAGGCTGAATATCTAGATGCAGCCCAGTCCTTCCAGTGCACTATACACATGCACAGCTGCCTACACTCTACCCACCCAGCTTGCTCAGGCTCTTTCTCTGCCACCACACTGCCCTCCTTGTCCCTTAAACAGAACAACAGGTCCCTATCTCAACCTTGGTAATACTGGTTCCTCTGTCTACAATGATTGTTCCCAGCCACACACCATACCTGACTTCATAGTTCCTTCAAGAGTTCACTGAAATGTCATTTTCTCAAGGTGTTGGACACCGTGAACGCACTAAAACTGCAGCAACTCCTCACCACCCCCCCCCACACACATTTCCTATGGCATCTCCCTTCCCTTCTTTATCTTTCTGGTTATTATTTATCACTAAACTACCATATATGCTACTCTCTTATTTTGTTAGTCTGTCTCCCCTACTACAAGGTAAGTGTCATGGAGCTGTTCTGTATGCTACTTTATCAACAGCCTCTAGAACAGTCCTGACACTTAGTAAGTGTTCAATAAATACTTGTTACATTAATTGCTCATATTCCAAGACAAAACACAAAAGGATAACTAATTATTCATAATCACTCCTTTTCATCCCTAACCAATACAGTGCATCCAACATAAGCAGTGTCTTCCTTCTCAGAGAACAATAGAATGAGGGCAAAGTCCAGGAAGGGAGTTTATTTAACCAAGGCTTATTATATGGCAGGAACTTTGCACTCACAGTATTCTGTTTTTGTCTACTAATCCTCAATTGCAGGTCATTCACAATGATCTATACGGTAAATATTATTATCCTGGACTTAATAGGAAGGAAACTGACTCAGATAAGTTAGATAATCTGCTCCATTGTTGTAGCTAACAGCCAGGATGTGGGCACAGCTCTGTAGGCTGCAAGGGCACTGCACTTTCCCCCACCCTCCTTTTTTGAGGTAAGAGTTTGTGTAATCAGGCTGGCCTAGAACTCTCTAGGTAACCAAGGATGACCTTAAACTTCTGCCATTCCTGCCTCTTTCTCCCAAGTGCTGGCTTCTCTCTCTGCTAACTCTACCAAACAAGGGGGATGAACCAGCTACTCATCAGAACCTATAGAAGCGAAGTGTTTTGTTTTGTTTTGTTTTTTCACAGAAGTGCTTGGAACCTATGACAGACCACATCAGTCTCCAGCCTGTGACATGACCAACAGGATGATTCTAACAGAGCCACACTGAAGCCTGCCACAGAGTACAAATATGTATCAGGAAGAGTGCTACCTGTTGAGCCTGGCCTCCAGGTGGCTGCTGAGATACTCAGATGGGAAGATGGTGTGTTCAAACACAGAGAAACTATACACATGATTCATTGCCAGTGCCAATTCGGTCAAGTTTAAATGTAGTTTGTCCATGCTGAAAAGAAAAATGGAACTTGGTTATGAGTTTGGCCTTGTCTGTTGGTATATGGGAAGAAAATGCCACGCCATGATCCTCAGACCCCTGTCACTCTTAAGGGACACTCAGCTTAGCACACACTGATGTTCTTCAAAATCGAAGTTGAAAATTCATACTCAGGTGCTTTTCTATGACTATCAATCCCCACCAACTCCTCTGCTTTCTCTCCCTGTATTACCTCCCCTCTTTCCTTTTCTCCCTCCTTTAAAGCAGAATCCATTTGGCCCTCAGGGGCCAGGGCCTCACTTAGTGACAAGGCTGCGGTTCTTCCGGTGACTCTCCGCTCCAGGCTTGTCCCTCTCAGGCTCTCCTTTCCTGGGAGCCTGCCTCTGCTTCATGGACTTCTTGTTCTTGGCTTTGCTGATGGTGGTGGCACAGTGCTTAGGTAGAAGCTTTGGAACAGAAACGGTGGAGGGAGACACAAGTGTCATTGCTAACAACTGTAAGAGGATTCCTCCATCATTATCTGCTCCTCTCCCCACCCAACTAGCTTCTCTTTCTCTAATGGGACCATTTTAGAATGTGCTTACCTCTTTCAGTGTTCATAAATATTTCCCCATGTACAGCCTCAAGTCCTAAGATGACAATGTCTTTCCAGGATGAGAGCACTGCTCCCCCACCCACATCTGAGGCCTTTCTTAACAGGTAAATCCAAGGAAAACAGTCAGAGCTGAGAGCTACACTTGTTTTGTAGGGTCCCAATGTGGGGAAACAACACTTTTTGCTAGATAAAACCATCATCCCACAGGCTGTACCCCTTTATGTCTCATGAAGATAGTTGCTCAGACTATCACACACTCCAAATTCTCAATGTCCACTTGTATTCAATATTCTTTCCTTGTTTCTTATTTTTCTTAAATATGTGCATACATATATTCCTTGCTAGCTAGCTCAAACATCAATCCTGCATTTATCCTTCTCCAGGTAGCCCTACAGAAAATACTAGCTCTCACTTGATACTCAATTGCCTCGAGGAATCACTTTGGGACTACTTTTAGAACAGATAAGAGCCACACAAGATAACTAGTTTTGTTACTTTGTAGTCATGCATCCTATTCTTAAATCTAAATTCATTTGGTTCAAAAAATTAAATAAAATCCACCTTGATATGAAAGTATTTATGGTTGATTCAGAAATCAGTATCCAAAGATGTAACCCTATTAGTAATGCATCAATAATTGTTTACTCAAATGTTAACTCTGAAGGGCTAACACTTGCTTGCAACAGTTCTGTGAGCAAACAATTACTCACACAAGGCTTAGTTATTCCAGATACAGCACTGAGTAAGCCTGTCTACCATGCATGTAGTAGATATTCATAATGAATGATTAATACAACTGTAAGTGTCCTTATTTGCATATCTTCTGTGCATCAGTTACTTACATTCTTTCAATCATGTATTTGTACTTCCCTTCCTCTTAAACTGGGACATTTCCAGAGACAGGGATCATGTACCTTCTTTCTTGATCCTCACCCCAAACTGTTAGCCTAAGAAGTTAATGTTCATTAAGCTTCACTTAATATAAGAGCCAACATGTATTGACTGCAGTGTATACCAAATATTTAGTGTGCTATTTCATTTAATCTTTATTATACCACTGTAAAGAAAGTATTTTTTGTTTGTTTTGTTTTTCGAGATATGGTATCTCTGTGTAACAGTCCTGGCTGTCCTGGAACTCACTCTGTAGACCAAGAAAGTATTTTTGTCTTTACTTGACATGTTAGAAAATGAAAAAGCTGAGTAATACGGTAACTGTCTATCTGTACTCACACACTTACACATATTGTACATGTACAAACACATACACAAACACACCTTATTTCCACTCCTACTAAAGTTGCTACTATTCTGACTCAAACCCAGGAAGGGTGGGTAGTCTGGGAAATTCAAAACTCTAGGGGACAAGAGCAAAACTAACTTCTTATTCCTGATTTTCTGATCTAATCATGACCAGATATTATGAGTCAGTCAAGGGAAGAAGAGAAGAAAAAAAAAAAACAGAAGACAAGAATGTAACCTTGGGGATCAGCATTGGAGTGCTTAAAAATCTCCAGTTAGTTGTAAACTGGAATGCTGATGAACAGAAAGATTAGACAAGACAGAGATCTGGGGACATTGTCCCAAGCATATGTGCACCATGCAAAGAAGACAAAGTTCATCTCCCAAAACTCTTCAAACGGAGCACAGATTTGAGTGACATTTAACTGTTCAAGTAAGAGTGTTTTTAAGTGCCTCTATTCACTAAGCATATCCAAGCTACCACCACAGGTCCTGTGAAACCAAGAATAACACAAAATCACAAACTTACTTAAAACGTTAGGACTTTTTGTGTGTGATTGCCATTTTGTAACTCAGTTGAGGAGTTCTCCAGCATGAACTTTGTTGATAGCTATCCCCAGTCACAATATCCAAAAGTTGTACATGAGATTCTAACCCAAGAGAGTGCTTGGAGTGACTGTACTGAGAGAGGAATCCTGCCATAAACCAAAGTTCACAAAAGCCCTACCCCTACTCAAGAAAGAAAATTTGGCCTGTGAGAGAGAAACAAGCGTGGCTGGAGGAAAAGACACTGAGGATGAGAAGGAAGACTGAAGCAGGATGAGGACCACCTGCTCGCTCAGGTTCCGCTGCTCAGCACAGATCTCCAACACGCAGTTGCTGGTCTGCTTGGCCAGCTCTTCCAGGAAGGACTTGCAGTGGTGAAGACCATGGTTCTTCAGGTGAGTGTACTGTGGGAGAAATGAATCACATGAAGGCTACTTCTTCCCCACACTGCCCTTGCTCCTTGCCTGAGCCATCCTCTCCTACGGAAAAAGAAACAGACCAGAAAGGATACATTCTCTATCAAACTGAGATGTTTGGGGACTCATTCACACACTCATTCCTGCTCTCTTCCTAGGATCAAAACCAACCCCTGGAACTGTGTTCTGAGAAACAAAGAAGAGACATGACTAGAGAGATGTTAGAACTTGAGAGATAGGATATCCACCTCCTCCGGGCACATTTCATGAGTGCAGTGGACAAAATGAGCACAAATCAGGGGGAATGCGATGGTGTATCGAAGCATGGAAGGTTCCTCCAGGGTCATGGCAAACATCTTCTCAAAGGTACGGAGATGAAAGCTGCAAAGAAAGAAGATTGAAAACGAGGATTTAGAACCAGACCCTTTCAAAATTTTTCTTCTATTTGCACTCCCTCCTACTTTCTATCCTATAGGTAGAAGGGAACCAAAGAATCTTAACCTTTCCAGGGTCTTACAATGGCTTCCAGGGCAGCAAAATGATATCCTTCCACTTCCTGGACAAAATTCACATTTCTTCCCTAGCAATCATTGCCTGGTTCAGGCCATCCCCTCTAATTCAGAAGTTCCAAATTCACATTCCCTTCAAAAAATGATGCTTGGGCTCCAGAAAACCTACTTAGATTAATTGTATGAAACTTGCCTTTCCCTCAGAAGCACTATGTTTATGTGTGTTTAGCATGTGTGTGTGTTATAGCTCTCCATTTCTATAGATTGCAAAGAGCAGACATGACAATCGCGTTTCTTCCCCCCCCACCCCCGATCCTTCAAGGAGTAGAGTTACACATCACATTGGTCAACTAATTATTGCCAAGTGTCATCTGTGGAAGACAATTAAGTATTCATTCTCCAACAATCCTATTATCCAGCCCTCTCAACTATTTCTTATTTTCCCAATACTAAACTTCCATAACATTCATGTTTATTTTATTTTATTTTATTTTGGGTTTTTGAGACAAGTTCTTTTGGGACTCACTGGATAGCCTAGCCTGGCCTAAAACTCATAGCAATCCTCCTCCGATAGGCTCCCAAGTATTCATATTTCTTTGTTTTTTGGAGACAGTTTCCTTGTAGCCCAAAAACAAGTAAGTAGCCAAGGATGACCTTGAATTCCTGATCATCCTTTCCATAGTTTCCAAGTACTGAGATTATAGATATCTGCCACCACACCTGGTTTTATGTCTTTTAAATCTCAATGTTATGACTGGAGAGATGGCTAAGTGGTTCAGAACATTTACTGGGTTCCAGAGGACCCAGGTTCAGTTCCCAGAATGCAGAGCAGATGGCTCACAAACATCTGTAACTCCAGCTCCAGGCAACCCAGTGTCTTCCTCCATCCTTTGTGGGTACCCACATGTAAGTGGCATACACAGAGAGACATACATTCATACCCACAAATGAAAATAAATCTTTAAAATTATATGTCCTAAAAATTCAAAAGAACAAAATTAAAAAAAAAAACTTAAAAAGGTAACAAGAGAACTTGGAACACATCCTTTTAGTCCCAGAACTTGGGAGGCAGAGGCAAGCAGATCTCTAAGTTCGAGGCCAGCCTGGTCTACAGAGTGAGTTCCAGGACAGACAAGGCTACACAGAGAAACCCTGTCTCGAAAAACAAGCACAAACAACAATAACAACAACAACAAAAAAAAAAAAAACAGAAATAAAATGGACTGATAATTAACCAAGACACACCAGAAAATAGAAAGGTCAGAGGTTTCCACCAGCATTTGCTCTACTGAGTCCAGCATCTGGGAGTGAAAGATGATGAGGTTCATGACCTTGGCTAGGTCAGGGTTCTCATGTAGGTGCAAAGGTGCCTTCAACACACTGGTATATGCCTGTGATTGGAAAGAAAACAAGATAAATGGGATGAAGCCGAGCCTTGGGGCTATAAGCTGTTCTCGGTGTGTTGTGTCCTGTCTAGTCAGCAGTTTTCAAGGATTACTTAGTCTCTGAAGCAGAGTTTAAGAGATTAAAATGGGGGAGAGACTTGTGGAAGAGGAGGAACCTGAGGATGGGGGCTACCACAAGACAAGAGCCTTACCTGTAGGCGGAACCAATCCAGCCTCAATCCAGAAAAGTCAAATTTCTCTTCATTATCAACTATAAAAAAAAGAAGCAAATGTAAAAGAAAATGATAAAACAGCACCTAGTACCTGGCTACACAGAATGGCAGGCCCATTCACAGTTTTTCTTACCCAGTGCTCTGGCTGACAGACCAATATTTCCAGAAAAACTTTATTAGCCCTCGTAAGTGCCCTGACACCTTCACTCCTTCCAGTTACCTTGCTTGAGATTCAGAGAGGACAGGGTGCTAACAAACGAAGACATGATGACAGACTCCTCCTCTGGACACACAGATAGGTTCTAAAAGAGAAGTAGGAGGTACTGTCAGTGCTCACAAGTTCCACAGGATGGAAAGTACAACCTCGGGCTCAGTCAGCCTGTGAAGGTAGAACTGCTGGCCTCCCAAAACAGAAAAGGAACAGACAACACTGCCCAGGATCCCTGCCATGTGGACTCCAATTTCTCTTCATTTTTCTCTCTTCTTGCTTAGGGGGAAAAAATCTGCTGAGTTTATTCATCTTTAGTGTACAGCAGCTTTTGACACCCAAACTACAATCATTCCATCAGAGTGGCTCCAGAAGGAAAAATTACCAGATATCATGCTGGAATCTCCAAAGTGTCATCAGTAGGACATACCTGAATGATGTCACTGAGCACAAGGACATCAAACCTGGCCAGGTACTGAACATGGTACTGCTGAATCACTTGGATGTGTCGTCGAACCAGAGCCCTGATCTCCTCCAGCAGGAAGAGGAGCTCTGCAATGCTCCTGTAAAGATAAGGACAAGGATAGACATCAACAAAACCATGAAGGAAGACACACAGCCATACAAAGCAGGGATTGAAATGTTCCGGATCATTTGATGTCCCCTTGCCCCCCATCCCCCAGTCTAAGGACAGGTTCTTAAGCAAATACTAACGAGTCAGAATAGTCTTCAGGTGTCTTAGTCTTGGTAACATTTTCTGTATGACGAACCAGCCAAGTGACCTCATCACGAATGAAAGACAGGGCCATGAAAGCAAAAAGGGCCTAAGAGAGAACAAAGCCTATTAGAATTTTCTACTTAAAAATGGATTTCAGTGTGGGCTAAAAAAAAAAAAAAAAAAAAAAAAGCACTCAGTTGATAGAGTGCTTATCTATCAGGTACAAGGCTCTGGGTTCAATCCCCAGAACAGGAAAGAAAATGGGTTTTAAACACAGAGAAAACTATTGAAATAATCTATATGTGGTGTAATTATGTAGCCATACCAATAGCATCTAGAAACAGGCACACAGAAAGCTGAACCATATGACACAGAACCAGACACACACATGTTGGGCCTGGCTCATAGTCAATACTCCTCCCTCCCCATAAAATTAAATTTTAGAAATATTTTATGGGTATTTATATGACTTAAAACAGAAAGCAAGTTCTGTCATCAATTAGTTCACACTCAAATAGAAGATAGGCCAAGTCTACAAATAGCTGTTAGATGGAGTACTATGGTGGTGCCAAGGGAAAACACAAAACATTTGGATACTCTGAGAGTATCAGCACAGACACATACAAACTGATCACAAGAGACTCAGAAAGGGGGCAGGAGAGACAGTGGGTAAAGTGCTTGTCATGAAAGCATGAGGTTCTGAGTTCAGTCCCCAGACCCCATGTAAAAAGAAGCCATGCACGGTGGCACGCACTCCTAACCCCAGTGATCAGGAGACTTCCAGATCCCTGAACTCACTGGTCAATCAGCCTTGCCTAATGCATGAGCCTCAGGCCAGTGAAAGACTGTCTCAAAAAAACAAAGTGGACAGCTTCTAAAGAACAGTACCTGAGATTGTCCTCTGACCTCCACACTCATATATGCTAATATGCACGTACACACACACACACACACACACACACACACACACACACACACACACACACGGGGGGGGTTGGAAATGCAGTATCTCATAAATGCTAAGTCAGCACCCACACAGTCATTGGTCACTATCCCTCCCCCAACATTTCTCTTGCCTTAGGACCCAGCAGGCCTGGTTCATCATTTAACACAGTCTCCAACTCCTTCACAGCTATCCGAAGAAACTGCCGACGCTGACAGTGAAATTGGCCACTGAGGGAGGAAAATGGAAAGTGGAGAATAGTGTCTTTCCCTCCCTCACAAGTTCCCCAGAAGTAGTGCAGAAGAGAGCTGCAGTTGGGGGGGCGTGTCAGGCAGAAGGAAGGTTCAGTGCTAAACTCAAACTTGGAGAGAAAATACAAGCATTCTTGGGGCTGCAAGAAGTTCTTGGGGGTGAGGACACAAGTCTGTACAGAAACTCAGTGTGCTGAAGTGAAAACAAAAGTCTGGGGAGATTCCTACCCCAGCCCCTCTGAGCCCATGTCCCAACCGTACCTGTTTGCAATGGCATGCTCCTTGCTCTCCTTGACGTCTGCCACTCGCTTACTGTACCTGGAATTGACATGTCAAGCACAGCAGGGCGTCATGCCACCAGTTAGTAAGTACAGGCGCCCTAACCAGCAGGACTTTCACCCACTCTTCTCACCCTATACAAACAAGACTCAGCTTAGAGACCATCCTGCTCTACGCTTCATTCTGCAAAGAAAATCACTACAGGAACCAAGCCAGGTTGTGATAATGCATGCCTGTCATCCCAGCACTCAGGAGACAGAGCAGGAAATTCATGGGTTTAAGGCCAGTCAGAGATATATACAGAGAATCCGTCAAAAGAAAAATTTTTTAAAAAGGAAGGTATGGGAGTTAGGAGAAGAAAGGGTAAAGTAGGAAGAAAGAAGAGAAAAGGAAAGGAGACAGTACACCAGCGTGGGAAGGAAATGACTTGCAGTGGTGAGCTGGGTTCCACCTTTCTCACACTGCACTCTGCTGGATACCTTCCTGTCAACCACTCTTCCAAATTTGATTAGGATGAGGATGAGGAAGGGAGTCATAAATACCACCCCTGTTTGTAAGTAAAAATGTCACCACCATCCCCACCCCTCCCCTGCTTACCCCAGGCCCCACCCACTTTATCTTGGTATTTAGCTCACCAATTATCTGTCAGTTCTTATCTCCCTCTCTGTTGGCTCCTCTTCCAACAAACAAGTTCAAAGCCTCTCTTATTCTGGAAACCCTCACTTGACCCCAACACCCTGAACTTCACCCATTCTCCCACATCACCAGCTCCTCCAAGACACACTCCTTTCCCTCTTCACCGTTCACTGACCCTTCCCATCTCACAAGGCCTTCAACACTGAACAATCTGTTCCTCTGAGGTCAATGTGAACTTCTGAATCACCAAATTAAATAACCTTTTTCATTGCTGTGGTTCATCTGCAATATTTGACCATATCTTTTTTTTTTTCTGTTAGAGACCTGCACCCAGAATCCCACACTAAATGGCCTCTGCCCTCCGCAACTCTTGCTGTCTTCATTCATCCTGTCAGCTGCAGCCACAGCAACGGGGAGATTTTATAACTTCTCATTTCCCTTCTCCAAGCCTCTCCCTTTATTGAACTTAGCATAAAAATTAAAGTCATTTGGAATTGAAAACTATCTTAATTAAATCAGGATTCAACTCTACAGCACTGCTTATAATTGTTTCAACCTCCATCCAGTATAGGGAAAGACACAAGATTAAGAATAAAAAAAAAATCTAGAATTATTTCATATTCTCACCTCTCACTAACTGTGGGACATTCAGACTGAGCCTCCTGTCGGTCGTCTTATTTACATACATACATAGTATGTCTGTGTATATATTTAAATATATGTGTATACTTAAGTTATCATAAAGATCACAGAACGTCCTGAACTATAAATCATACATATTAGCTGCTGTCCTTAGTGGCAGGAACCAAACAGCTTTTTCCATCTCACCAGCAAACTTCATATATACATTCCTACTTCCTGTAACTTCTGTTAAAGATTCCTTCTCTCCTAACTTTGGAAATGCATTCTTCTATGTTGTTATTTCTTTGTTCTTTTGTGGAGGTCAGAGGACAGTGTTTAGGAGGTTTTCTCCTTGCACCGTGTGGTTTCCAAGGATGGAACTCAGGTTGTCAGGCTGGTGACAAGTGCTGAGCTGTCTCACTAGTCCTTTGGCAACCTTTTCAAAACAAGAATCCTAATCACTTTAATCAGTTGTTGAAGAACTAGTATTCTCTTTACTGTGTTTCTGTTTGTTTCTTTTCAGCGCAGAGGATTAAACTCTAGGATCTTGCACAAGCTAGGCAAGCCTTCTACCTCTAAGTCATAGTCCTACTCCTTAATATATTGTAACTAAGACAACCAGTGGGGGGCAGAATTTGGTAAAAAGCTTTATTAAAATACAGGCTGGGAATATAGCTCAGAGGTAGAATGCTTGCCTAGCATGTGCAAAACCCTGGGTTTGATCTCTAGCTTGTGAGTGGGGGAGAGAAAGAAAAGTTTGAAGTGTGTTGCCCTCCACATCCAGAACTTACCCTACAGAAACATTTGAGTATGTTCACAAAAATATATCAATGGATAGTCTCTAAAGTATTTGTTTAACTTGAGAGGCAGAGGCAAGGAATCTCCCTGTGTTCAAGGTGAGCCTGGTCTACACAGAGTGTTCCAGGATATCCAGAATACATAAAGAGACCTCATATCAAAAAACAAAAACAAAAACAAAAACAAAAAAAACATTCAAACAAACAGAATTTGTTTAAAATGATCTTTTTAAATGGAAACAGTTCAAATGTCCATCAACAGGAAATTAAGGAGCTACACAAGCCTGCTCTTCAAGCTTGGTGACCTCTAATCCCTGAAACACAGGTAAAGGTGGAAGGAGAGGGCAGACTCCCCAAAACTGTCTTCTGACCTCCACTCTGAAAGCTCCTTGCATCCCTACATCAGATACACATACACACAACAGGAAATTCAAGCCCTTTATTCCCAGTGTTCAGGAGGCAAAGGTAGGCACAGCTTTGTGAGTTCAAGACCACCCTGGTATACATAGGGAATTTCAGGCCAGCCAGAGCTCCTCCTTAGAGAGACCCTGTCTCAAAAAAAGTGTGTGTGTGAGAGAGAGAGAGAGAGAGAGAGAGAGAGAGAGAGAGAGAGAGACTGCGTAAATGTTATAAATACATAATGAAATTTTATTCAAATTATTTTATTTATTTTATTTTATGTGTATGGATGTTTTGCCTGCATGTATGTCTGCATACCACATGTGTGCATGGTGTGCAAAGAGACCAGAAATGTCAGATACCATGAAACTGGAGGTACAGATGGTTGTAGCTACCATATGGGTGCTAGGAATTGAATCCAGGTCTCTAGAAGAGCAGCCAGTGCTCTTAACCACTGAGTCATCTCTCCAGCCCCTCAACTATTAAAAAGAGTAAGTCTCAGGCAGGTGTCATGGCTCATGCCTGAATCCTAGTATACTGAGACTGAGGCAGGAGGATTGCAGCAAGTCTGAAGCTAGCCTGAGCTACAAAGTCAGACCTATATCAAGGAAACAACAAAAAAGAAAAAGTCTCTATAAACTGATATTCAAAGATAACTAAAATATAGTAATAATTTAATAAATCTGTAAATATAATGTAAAATGTAGAGCCAATGCTTTTCCAAAACTTCTTACATAAGGTTGAAAATGCATTCATACTTCTGTATATGTACATACACATACACACACACATACATACATACATACATGCATACACACATACATACATACACACACACCTGTAGCACACACAGCAAACCATTCTGGGAGGTGAGCTATGGTGATATTTTATTTGTATTCAAATATTATTTGTATGTTAATAAATAAAGTTGCCCAGGGGTCAGAGCTATTAACAAGCCTTAGGAAAACAGGGCAGTGGTGGCATACGCTTGTAATCCCAGCACTTGGTAGGCAGAGCTAGGTAAGTCTCTGTGTGTTCAGGGATACAGCCAGTATTGGATACACATGCCTTTAATCTCAATACCAATCAATAGAAAACCTGGAGGTCTATACAGACAGGCCGTGATGAGGCGGTCATGTGGTTGGGTTTACAACCAATGAGAAGGCAGAACAAAAACACTATAAAAAGACAGACACACAGGAAGTAGCTCTGGTTTGTAGAGGTAGGACCACTGCAGGAGGAAGGGTAAGGTTTTAGCTCTTAGCTCTGACCTCTTGGCTTTCTTCTTTGCATTGGTTCTGTGTTTCTTATTTAATAAGACGGTTGGTTACATCTACAGTGAGCCTTCATTTTTTTCACATTTCCAGGTGCAATATTTGCCACCAGAAACAAATATAGGTAAACACACCCTTTCCTTAATCCCATACCTTCCTCCTCCTCCTCTTGTAACTCCATTCTCCCTTCACAGCGATATTGAGTTAATTCCTTATCTCCCATTACTCCTAAACCTACTGAAACCAACTTTCAACCTCACCACTCTATTGATGTTGTTCACAGGACACAAAGATGACCTCTGTAGCAAAATCCAGTGAACTTTTCCAACCCTCATGTTGTTTGTTCTCTTTACATCGTCTAGCAGATGATGACGGGTCCTTCCATCTTGCCATGCTTTCTTCCAGTGGCTTGATTTTTCTCCTCAATGTCCATCATGGATTTTCCTGCCTCTGCTTGACCCTTAAATATCAGTGTTCTTAAAAGTTTTGTCCCCGATCTTCTTCTTAAACAATCACACCCATTCATTCTCAGGGCTTTGATTACCATGTCACCAGTTGTCATCTAGTCCAGACAGTATGACTAGTTACTGAATCACATAGCAAGAGGCCTGACATATATAACCTGTATGTCCTACAGACATTTCCAATTCAGTCTGTTCAAAAATGAATCCACAGGGCTGGAGCAATGGCTCAGCAGTAAAGAGCACTTTTTGGGGTTCCAGCCCCACATAGAGGCTCACAACCATCTCCAGGTCCTGTCAAGAGGATCTGACACTCTCTTCTGGCCTCCAAGAGCACTGCACACACATGGTATACAGACACATATTCAAGTAAAACATTAATACACATAAAATAAAAATAAACTAAAAGTCTAAAAATAAAAAATTGAATCACAGTCTTTCTCCACACTTACTGTAGTTCTCATGTCTCTACCCTAAGGAATACCAGATGCCCATTCCAGAGATCTTGACATCCTCAATTTTTCCTAATTTACTAAATTAATCCCTGCCTCTAGCTTTACCCATCTAATCTTTTTCCCCTGGAGCAGTAATCTTCTCTAAAATGCAAATCTGATCCTTTCAACTGCCTCGTTTGAATTCATTCGATGACTCTGCATTCTCTTGAGCACAGATTTAAACTCTAAGGCACAGCTTATGACATCCCAATTCACTGCTCCAAAACCAACTTTTACAGCCCCACCTTTGTAACCCACGCTGTCCCAGCACTGAGCAACTTGAACCTCTGAACACATTGTTCTCTTGCCTCGAAGGCTGTGAACTTCAAGCTAGATATGGTGGCAAACACCTGATAATGCCAGCATTCGGGAACCAGGAAGATCTCTGTGAATTTGAGGTTAGCCTGGTCTACACAGTAAGTTCTAGGACATCCAAGGCTATGTAGAGAAACCCTGTCTTCAAATACAGGGGCGGGAGAGAGAGAGAATGAAAAGGGGAGAGAGCTGAGTTTCTTTACGGCAACTATCTAACTAGTGTCTGCCTGTGTCCTGTTTTCTTTAGATCCTTCAAAGCCAGTACAAATGCCCTTAATGCCCTTACTGCTTGCACAGCACTTTGTATTTACACACCACAACCCCCACTCTATCACAAGTTTGCCTATTTTCCAACAATTTGTAAACTTTCATTTTTTTAAGCTTAAGGACAATTTTAGGGTCTAAGAGAAGAAGAAGGGGGAGGGGAACAAGTCAGGCAAGCTGTAAATCTCAGCAGCTACAGGGAGAAAAACAGAAACAGAGAGAACCAGACCATTTGCGTTAGAGCAGAAGTCAGACACACAGTAGACAATCAACCTAATCACAAACTTCAGGGAAATCGTAAGAAAGCTCACAGTGTTAGGGAAAGCACATTTAAAACAGAAAAGAAAAAGCTAAGCTTTTCTGAGTAATTCAGAAGCTGCTACCTTTTATTTTAATAAGGTCTCACTATGGACAGTTGATTGGCTTGATCAGTTTGGGAGGCAACTAGGCAGTGGGACCAAGTCCTATGCTCATTGCATGAGTTGGCTGTTTGAAACCTGGAGCTTATGCAGGGACACTTGGCTCAGTCTGGGAGGAAGGGACTGGACCTGCCTGGACTGAGTCTACCAGGTTGATCGCAGTCCTCGGGGGAGGATTTGCCCTGGAGGAGGTGGGAATGGGGGGTAGGCTGGGGGTAAGGGGAGGGTGTGGGAGGGGGGAAAATAGGGGAACCTGTGGCTGATATGTAGAACTGAATGGTATTGTAAAATAAAAAAAAAGAAAATTAAAAAAATATTATTATTTAAATATTTATTAAATATTTATATATTTAAATATTTATTATTAAATAAATAAAAAATAATAATAAGGTCTCACCATGTAGCCTATGTTAATCTTCCTGCCTCAGATGCTGAGTGCTGGGGTTACTGGTGTGTGCCACCAAACTCAGCTTAATACATTAGAAAAAAAAATCAAGTGCATAATACAATGTACCAGATCTTTTTCCATATGCTTTATATATGGGAACTCTTCAGAACACTATGAGGTCATAGATACAACTTCATTTTGTTGGTGGTTTGGTGTTTTGTTTGTGCCTACTTGATTTTGTTTTGGTTTTGAAATAGGGTCTTTTGTAGTCCAGACTGGCCTGGAAATCACTGTGGAGCAAGCAAAAGGGCCAACCTTAAATTCTTGGTCCTCCTGCCTCCGCCTCCCTGAGTGCTGGGATTATAAGGGTACACCACCACAACCAGATGAAAGGTATTGCTTTATTCACATTTTACAGATGAGGAAATTAAGCCAATGGAATGGAGAAATTAAGTAACCTACCTAGAGCTAGTCACAGAGCTAGAAAATGGCTCAGCTTGAATTCAAACCAGGCAGTCTGGCCTCACAATATCTTAGTAACCTTTCTATCCCTAGTATCCAGTGAGGCACCAACAAAGAAAAGGTGTTTGATAATATTTCAAAGTTAGAATTACCCATGACCACTCATACTTTGGGAAAAGGGATATTGATGAGGCTATACCTCCCAAAAGATCAGTTTGACTTGCAAACCACTTACCCTTTCAAACTACTGAAGAGGTCCTCAGTGACCTTGTGCACTTGCAGCACATCCTCCCGGATGAGGGTGATGTACAGGGAGCCCTGCAGACATAGCTTCCACAGCTGTTGGCACTGGCTGTTGGAGTTGAGGCACCCATGACAAAGAAGAAACCCAACTACAAGTGAATAAGAACCAGAGGGAGGCTTTTAGATAGCACACTTCTGAGAGTGCCACCTTGCCCTTTCCCAGCTTCTCCCACCACTTACTTACGATCCATCGCTCCATCACTTCCACAGACAGATACTCACAGGCCATCTACAAGAAGCAGACAGAGAGGACCAAGTAGCTGTTTAGGACTTCTAAAGAAAGGACAGAGCCAGCAAGACGGATCAACAGGTACAGGAGACAGCTACCAACCTGACAACCTGAGTTTAATGCACAGAACCCACATGGTGGACGGACAAAACTGATCTCCAAAAGTTGTCCTCTGACCTCTGTACTTGTACTCCACCCACATGTGTCACAAAATAAATAAATAAAAATGCAATTTAAAGTTTTCTAAATAAAAGTCTGGAGGAACTCATGCCTAGCATGCACAGGGCCCAGGGCAAAATCCCCAGCTCTAAAAACAAAAACATTTCATTTACTGGAGTGGATTAAAGCACTTTGATGAGACAACAGCTGGGAAAGCTGTCATGAAGGAAAGGGGGCCCTGGAAGGGGACTAAGGGGCAAAGGACATAGTTGAGGAAAAGAACAAGGTTGAGCTGGAAGGAAGAACAAACAAAATGTATAGCATGACATCAATACTGAGATACTTTCAAAAAGCTTCAACTCAAAATCTCATAATTTCTTTCTCCATTGTGTTCTCTAATCACACTTGAAGCGTAAACATTCATTTGCAACTTATCCATGACCTCTCAGCATCAGTTGTAAATTTGGGCACGTATACACATTTATGCATATTCATGACATCACCTGTCTTCTTCAATCACTCTCTATGTTTCTGAGACAGAGTCTCTCATTGAACACAAAGCTCATAGCTGATTGGCTTAGCTGACCAGATGCTCCAAAGATGTGCCTGTCGCCACTCCCCAGTGCTGAGGTTACACACATCACACTGTGTCCAGCTTTTATACAGTTGCTAAGAATCTGAAGTCACATAGCAAAGCAATCATCTCCCACCCCCCACTCCCACCCCACCCCCCATGTTTTTATTGGTTTTGGTCTTTTGAGACATGTTCTTACTATATAGTCCTGGCTGGCCTCAAACTTGTGGCAATCTTCCCACTTCTTCCTGCCAAGTGCTGAGATTACAGGATACACCACTATGCCCTGACATCAGTTGCATTTCTATGGCATATCTTCCTTTCAAAACTATAAATTCTTTGAAGGAAGGTACCAGTCTCATCATAGATGAGTAACATTTATTAGTCAATTGACTCCTAATGCAAATTTCCTCTTATGCCTAATGACTCCTTTTCTTTTTTGTTTGAATTTTGAGTCAAAGTCTTACTATAGCCTTGGCTGGCTGGCTGGGTACTTGTTATGTAAGCAGAGCTGTCTATGGCCACATAACAGTCCTCTTGCCTCAGTCTCCCAAGAGTCAGGGTCACAAGTATATGTGCCACCACACCACACTAACTCAGTTTCATCCATTTGTTAATTCAGCACACACTGACTGGTTCAATCAGAAGCACAAAATTAGTAATGACTTTTTATCTTAAGAGACCAACCAAGAAGCAGGCCCTAGAAGAATGCTGAAACAGCCCTGGAGCTGATGTTTCCTGAAAGAAGCACCTTCTAGAGAGAGGGCCTTGGCAGAGAATTCCTCTCCTAACAGAAGGAAAGGGGAACTCACTGTGTCTGAATTGGCAGGGTTAATCATGGCTGGGGGGCTGCTGATGAGGCTTAGAAGCTGGGCACTGCGCCACTGCTCAGCACCCTGGTTCCTCCGAACAAAGAGGAAGTGCAGAGAGAGGAGGGCCCCACTCACAGCCTGTAAAAAAAAAAAAATAAATAAATCCTTAATGTCAAAGATGGGATGGATGCTTCTGCCTGGATGATTCTCCCCACTCTCAGGGAGCTCACCTTTGTGTGAGGTCCAAATTCTTCAGTCAGCTTCTTCAGAGGATGGTCATACTCTAATACCATCTGGCCCAGGCGAGCAAAACTGGGGTCACTGGAGGAAAGCAGAAGAGAGAGGAGTTATGGGCCTTTCCCTATATATGTAGGAGATTATGTATATGTGTACAGAGGCTGGCATTCCCTATCCCTTCCAAAGACAGATATGCTAATCTGTGAATTACATATACTAATGTCCAACTGTAGGCATACCAAGCTATGTTTAGAAATACTCACACAGGCCAGGCAGTGGTGGAACATGTTTTAATCCCAGAACTCAGAAGTCAGAGGCAGGTAGATCTCTATGAGTTTGAGGCCAGCCTGATCTAGAGAACAAGTTCTAGAACAGCCAGGGCTACCACAAAGAAAACCCTGTCTTGGAAAGAAAAAGAGAGAGAGAGAGAGAGAGAGAGAGAGAGAGAGAGAGAGAAAGAAAGAAAGAAAGAAAGAAAGAAAGAAAGAAAGAAAGAAA